GCATCTAGAAAATGGTAAAGCTTTCAAGGAAGAATAGCATCTTTGCATAAACAACCTGCAATACCTAAGTTCATTGCTGATTGTGAGAAATACACCAAACACCTCAGTGATTACAGCTGAATGTCTTTTGTGAAGTTGGAAATTTTCTGAAAAGATTTATCAATTTTTAGAGCATCATGCTCATTCATATAACTCTTCTTTGGGATAGTAAATGTTTTCAGGTGATACTGAAATTAGTGGTGAGCCAACCCTTTAAAACATCTCTCAAAAATATATGCTTATAAAAATTATTCAATTGAAGTTTAAGGAAATTCGGTGGTGGAATCAATATTTTCAAAGGCAGGAGCTTCCTTGTGCTTTTGTGGTCTCTCTCACTGGAATCTACTATCTCAGGGGTTCCTTACCACTAGAAATCCTGCCTGCTGGGGATGCCTCTGCCACTTACGTGATCACACCTCACCTCTGGATTTATAGCCAGAAGACTTCAAAATTGATACTGAGTATTAGGTTAAAGAGCAACCAGGGAGTGAGAAGGAGAAAGGTTCAAAACAAACAATAGCAGGAAGTGTTCATGTGATTTTTAGTTAAGCTGCAGACCTTTCTGATGGAGGATGCTGAAGGTGCTAAAGTTTAAGCTGATTGAACAGAAAATTTTGGACTGTTTATGAACACACAGAATCTACACAGTCCATGAGGTACCCAAGTTGGTGGTGACTGAATACCAAGTATCACCACAGTCTACCTTGTTCTTGATAATTTTTAACATCTTTATAATTTTTGAAGCATTTACTTTTGAGCACTGATGGAGATACGATACAAAGCTTGATATAGGGTACTGTTTTTAATGGACCTTTGGTCTTATCTAGGATGGCTGTATTTTATTCTTTTTTTTTTTTTTTGTATTAAAAGTCAAGTTGTCCACTGATTTAGGATACCAGAAATATTTCTGAAAAGATAAAAATTCAGAGATCCTAATTCTGATAACTTTAGTGTCTGGCACTACAAAAGGCATATGGGTACCTGAGACCTAAATTTATCACTTTATCACTGCACTTTTGAAATTTGCTTGTGTTAGGAACTAAGTAAAGAGGAGCACAGATACGAAAAACCAACAGGACAGAGCTTCAGCCCTGTTGAAGTGAGTGGGAATTTTGCCCTTGACATTTGTGGAGTTGGGATTTTATTTAATGCTCTAATTTACAATTTTTCACACTACATGAGTCAGGGGATACAAGACTGAAAGAATAAATTATGCCTTTAGTTTATATGAAGAAGTATTTATCCATGCAACTGATTATTTTAGATTATATTTGGAAAGTGTAAACTGCAATTAAAAATCCTTCAGTCTTGCTGAAGCAAATTTACATCAGTAGTATACTTTTTCATTCCAAAGGGCAGAAAAAGGACTGGTTAGAAATAGAAAGTGTTTCCTGTGGCTGTTTTTTCACCACTTTTTCTAGTATGCATTTTGGAGATTAAGATATGATAGGAAAGATGTGCGTTAATGTCTTTACAAATAATTTGGTGGGTGAATGTATGGGTGTTAATATCTTTAAAATGAGAGTCCTAATGTCTCTACTGACTTTGGGCAGCAAGTTTATTACCAGACTCAGACAGTTTGGCTCCTGAAAGAGAGAAGATCTGCACAAGCCTGAACTTCTGAATTTTGGGATAAAATAATAAGTTCAAGGGGGAATATGGACTAGGCCGTTCAAGAAGGCTGTACCTTCCTAGTACCTCAGCCAATGGGGGAAAAAAGAAGGCAACGAGTGGCTGAGAGTTAGGATAAAATGGAGGCTGCACCCTCTGAAACCCTGAGTGAGAGAGAGAAAACCCTGTGGATGTGTGCCCCTGTGAACACTCTCCCTTTATTTGCATAAAGTTGAAGGACTCCTCTGTCTCCTTTTTGGACATAAGCCTCTGGTGTTTCTGGATTTTCCTGACAGATTGGTATTTTGTTTAATTTGAGATGATCATTGGTTAAAATAGATTTCCTTAAAACATGCAAACTCTTCTACACACAGGAAAGTAAAGGCAAAATGTCAAAGCAACTGCTGTTTAATGGGCTGTCAAATCAAAGGTTATTATGCAGACTGTGGTCTTTTTACAGCAATAATCATAAATATTTTTGATTCACACTGTGCTTTTTACCTCAAAGGATTCAGGTATTTTACAAATGACACATCTATTGCTCTACATGACAGTGAACTGCAGCCACAAGAAGTGCCTGGTAATCTATATTGGTACTTCCTGGCAGTGGAAGGTAAACCACCTATACCTTGAATGAATCTGAAGGAATTGTTTGGGAAAGCAGGATGTAAATGCAGACTTGAAATCTAGCCAAGAGCTGAACAGCAAAATGCAAAGAATCAGATAGGACCAGGTATCAAGTTTCTGATACAATTAGGTAATTCTTTGAGCAGCTGGATTAAATTTTAACTGGAGCTGGGAAGAAACTGTTTTCTTCTTGGAAAACTTGCAGATCAAAACCTTTCTCTTTTCACCCCAATGTGATTACCTCTGCAGTTTTGAATGGAGAGAGGATCCCTCTGCAACCAGCCAGTTAAGGGCTCTCTCCAACAGTATGGATACTCTGGCTTCTAAACTTATTTGATCACTTTACTCTCATGAGTGTCTTTATTCTTTGTGGTACAAATGTTCACTTTGACCTAAATGAGTTTATCAAACTACTACAAATGTTTGACTTAGTATTAGATGGACCTGAAACAAGTATTGTAAGGTAGCTTCAAAGTACTCAGCCACTTAAGGACCAGATCGTTTTCTCTCTGGCAATCTTACAACATGGCTGAAACACCAGTGAAGTAGCTCAGAAATTAGCATGACAGCAGTAGGTGATCTGGATGCTCTCCTCAGAAGAGAAATGCAAATATAATTCTCCTGCTTCCTGTGTGTGAGTACATGGTCCAAAGCCAAGGAGGAAGCACGAGTGTCTCTGCCTGCTGTTTTTTGAGAAGAACATTTCTCCTCCAACTTCAGTTTCACGACTGAAACTTCATCAAATCATTACTGGTATCTTCCCACAATTTTTCTTTATGAATAAGTGTTTTATGGCTGAAGGAAGAAAATGGTGTCAGCAAATAATTAAATTTAAAAAAACCCCAAACCTGATAGTTCCAAAATTTTGAAACTGTTAGGGTTCCTTACCTTTCATTTAGGTAACATTTAACTTTCTGCTTTCTAAATATACTATGAATCATTCTCTGTGCTTTTGCTGTCTTAGGAAGAGCATTGGTGCTTATATGATCTATATGACAGTACAGACAAAATAATTCCTTAAAAATGTTTTATACTTAGATTATTTTCCTACCTTCTTTTGGAGGGGCAGCTACATGATGGATTTCAGTAAACTGCATGAGCAGTCTTCATTGCAGGGGCTATAAAGTATCTATAAAGAGCAGCAACTCTTTTAAATTCCAGAAATGTTGTTTACACTTTTCATTCCAGTTGCAAGTGTTGGAAATGTTATATGTAAGTAGTTGTTTTTGTTTCAAAACAATAACTTATGAAAAAAGCCCAACAAACCCTCACTGCTAGAAGCTGTTTTCTAAATGAACTTGTCTTATATTATTGAACATCCAAATAAATCATTAAAAAAATAATAAAAAAGCTCTACTTGGCTGAGGCTCTCCACTGTGGTAGAAGTAAGTGGAATTTAAATTAACTGTTGGAGTTCAGTAGTGATTCTCTTCCATCCTTTTAAAAGTGCAGCATTCTTATCTGACTTGAGCTTTTGTTGAGAAGCCAAGGTAGGGCTGAGGTTTATACCCTAAACATGACCACATTTGCTTATATTTTGTAAACCTTTAGGAGTGCATTGAGCAAGCTTTCAGTAAACTGTGTCCTGGCTATTGCTTTGATGGTAGTCTTCTTTCAACTTGGTGTTTCCAAGTGCTTTTGATCCAGACCAATGCAAAATTTGATGCATTTATGTGGAATTTAAGTTTTTTCTTGGGAACATAAAAACTGGAACATTTAAATAGCACATTTATAGTTTTAACATATATTGCAAGAAAAAGAAAGAATTGCACAGATTTATGTGTTTGGGATCATTAAGATGTTGACCGTGTTTCCTTAGATGCCTACTCATAAAACTTTGGCTTGCGGCTGGCCTTCTTGTGAAAACTTTGCCAGCTTTGACTCTAAATTTTGTCTGTTCTTAGGATTTGCCTGCCTTTTACCAGTGGATTGCTAGCATGTACACTGAGTCAACATTTCTAAACATTACTAAGTAAAAAAACTAGAAAGATGAGTTTGCAAACCATGAGAAACAACAAGGAGAAGGAAGAGCTTGGAAGACTGTGTTGTGTGTCTGCATGCATGAACATTTTGCTCAGCTTATCAACATTACTGCTAAATTACATGTTGTTTTCCTGTGTTCTTCTTTACTGATAATCTCTAGTTCTGTGCTCTCAGTTGAGTTTCTAGAGACTCGCTGTTTACATAAGTAGCAGATGACTGATGGTGTAATGTATTTGGGTTGATTCATTATATCTTGAATTATTAAAACACACTGCCTCTCTGAAGAGCTGAAATCTGAGCACAATTTGCTGCAAGTCAGAAATCCCTGTGAGTAAGAGGAGCTACAGAAACTGGTTCCAGCATAGCAAGGAATACAGGCAGCATCAGTGGGTAGATAACAGCAAAATCTAAGCCTTTATTGGGTTTTTTGTGTGCTACCTCCTACACAGAGATTTGACAGATACAGCTGGCTTATTGACTTGGTAGTCTTGCACTAATTGACTGCTGGCTTTGATAGGGGAGCCTCTAACCAGTTGAACTCTGAGCAGGCATGTAGGTAACTTGCCAATGAGAGTGTTTGGGGGAGGAGAAAATTCTTGGGTGCACGCCTCTCAGATCCCTGTAAGAAGTGAGGTGTGGTGTGTGTGTGCTGTCTCAAGGGCAGCTAAGAGTGAGCTCGAGTGCTTTGCTTCCACGAGGGAGAGAGAGACAGCTACTGAAAGTACAAGCTGGCAGGAATCATGACAGACCCAAGCAGCAGAAAGGATGCATTTAAAAAATGCCAAAGTGCTACATTCAGTATTGATGGCTATAACTTTGCAATTGGTAAGCCTGATTTAATTTGTCCTTTTTCTTTTTCTTTTTCTTTTTCTTCTCTTTTCTTTTTTCTTTTCTTTCCTGTCTTTCTTAGTAGTTCCACTAAGTACAGCTAAAAGACAGCTGTTGTCAGCTGCCATTTGTCAGTAAGTGCCTCTAAAATGTACAGATGCCTGCAATTTTTGCCTGAATTAGTTTTGCATTCCGTCTTCTGCATTTCTTTTGCCCAAGAAACTTGCCTTTGATATGCAGCCACTCTACATTCTTTTCTTTTTGCTTGAGTTTTGGCCCAAGTTCACCAAGATGTTTGCAGTACTTTTGTTTTGGAACCTTACCTCAGGAAAGCCTGGGTTTCCAGCTTGCTAGCTGCATTTCCTTCCCATGAGCCCAGAATGTCGTCCTTGGGAGCCTTGGCTTTCTTTGCAATACTTTATTGTTTACTTAGCCAGTATTTCCTAATTCTGTAATCTTTTGTAATTTCTCACTTTGCATAAAGATGTATATGTAACAGTTCACAAACACGAGAAGTAAAATTGCTGAGGAAATGAGAAATATTGAGGAAAGATTAGGAATTTTAGGATGGATTGCTGTAGTTGTTTGGAGAGTGCTGTTTCATGTTTATGTTTGCTGTCTTAGGGGAAAGTGAGGCTTCTCAAAGTGAAAGGGCTTTTTCCAATAGACTTGCTACACAAAATTTGAGGATTCTCTGAGCAGACTGCTTTGCTACAAATGCTTATCTTACTAGGGTGTGCATATATATATATATATATATGTACCCCTATACATATCCATATGGATCTTAGAAGCAAAGCAAGCTTACATCCCATTTGAATTTTTAGATTAAATCCAAGTTAAAGTATATGGATAACTTACTCGTAATAATCAATAGAAATTCCTTTTGAATACTTTTAAGAAGACAGAGATTTCACTTCCTTGCCATTGTGAAATCAGGAAAGCTTTTCCTGGGTGATACTAACATAATTGGGCCAGTATTTCATCTAATAACAATGGATACAAGCTTTTTTTTGGTGTGGATGGACATACCTGTTTAACCCTTTGATTCATGAAGAATTTGTTTTTGCAATCATTAACATCATGCAAACATTAGGCTTGTTGAAAAAAACTGGAGATATATGTTTCATTAGAATATCTTTACATAGTTAAGATATCCCAACTATCTGTTAATGTTCATACAGCACTTTAAAGGTAAAACTGCCAAGCCAATGCTACTTTTGAAATTTCTTTCTCTAATGGGAAGGTCCTCCACAGGTTGTTGCAATATGCTCACTTTTGCATCCCCCATCATAATCTCATCCACTCTCAGCATCATTATTAGTAGTGGGTTTTTATCACTTTCTGTCAGTCTGGTGGATGAACATATTCTTTCTCTTCAGGTTTGGTTTTTTTGGTTGGTGGTTTGTTGCTTTTTGGTTTTATTTTTGGGATTTTTGGGGTTTTTTTTGCTTGTTTTGTTGTTGTTTTGTTTTTTTTTGTTTTTTTTTTTTGTTTTTTCTCTTTAATTCAGGAACAAACCAACAGGATTGCTGGGTTGTTGCTCTGTTGTCTTTATTGCTACTCATGCTCGCAATACAACAGGACCAATTTTAGGGTCAAATGACTAAGGGTTTAGAACTGAAGGTTGTCTTGGGTAATCAAAAATGTTACAGTATTTAATATCTTTCTGAGCCCAAAAATTGTTACTGTCTCTGTGAGGTTACTGTCTCTTTAAGGTGGCGTATCTGGAGGTCTGGAGCAAGACTCATGGGGCAGGCAGGTGTGGTACACTTGCCCCAGGTTGGGGCACACAGGCAGAGTTCCCTTTTTCACCTGTTGGTTTGCTTTCTCATCCCTTGCACACTTCTTGGCTTTAACCTTAAAGCTGAGGTAGTGTGGGCAGAGGCTTCCTTTTTGTGTTCTCATGTGTTGTGGCATTTTGTTTAAGGCAGAGGTTGTTTTGGGGGGAGGGGGAAGGAGTTCTGGGCTAGCTACCCAGAAAAAACTGCATTTCTGCAATCCAAAACTGTTTCAGAGTGAATTCTGCAAACCTCTATTGGCAGTGCAAAGCTTGAGCTGGTACCTCACCGGGCCACCCCATGTTGATTCTGGGGGACTGTTTCTCTCCACTTCAACACACCAGTGGCTCAGAGGACAGCAGCACCAACACTGGTGGAATACAGTGGGTGGCAGAAGGAAGCAGTGAGGGGTGGAGCTGACCCCACATGTGCTTGCAATTCCCATACGCCACTAGAACTGCTTTGTAAGCTCATACCTTCCCAGAAAGGTTTACTGCCATCCTTTCCCCTTTGTCTCCCAAACTGCGTGGTTGCCAGCAAATGCTGCCATCTTGGTCAGATGCCATTTCTGCTTTGTCTCCCTACATGTAGTGGCCTGTGATGGATGCCATCTTGAAAATGGTACTTTGCCATTTTGGATTTTTCTTTGTTCTCAGGGAGTTTGTGAGATTTATCAATTTTGTATCTAGTGAATAATTACTGTTATTTTCTGCCTGTTGCAGTTTTGCTTGTTAGTAAACTGTTATTTTTTCACTTATATCTACTCAAATATAGTTTCTTCTTATTGGTGGAAAGGGGTTGATTAAAACAGTGGGGGAGAAATCATGTTAGAGTGATCCCCTTTAAACTGTCTCAAAGCAAGACTCAAGTTTTTTCTGCTTCTTGGGACAGTTGTTGCATTGCAGCTTCTGTGCTACTTTTTTTCATGTGCATCTGTATTTGATGCACACAGTGTATTGATTCTGTGACCTGTGTATTATATAACATTTATTCTTGTATCTGGGCAAATGTGAATTGTATTGAATCACATAACCACAAAAACTTTGTAAACATGCTGTGTAGTATTACCATCACTGTGTGGTAGATTGACCTAAATGATTCAAGTATTCATTAATCACTATACTGAAGAAAATAAATCTATCCAAGAAACCCCACAGTAACATTAGTGTGTTAGGGATGGGCTTAAATGTCTTTTTTTCCATCAGACGAGAATTCTATTTTTTGTGCCCTGATGATTTTTAAGACGTTCTTGGGAAATGTTGAGCTGCTGCATCTGCTACTGTAGTATTAGCTGAGAGAGAAGGCTGATACCCTTGAGGAACAGAGAAATATTAGTTTGAGAGAAAGTAGCTTCCCTTTGGGTACAAAATGAATCATACTAGTTGTCATGCAAGATTTGCAAATTGTTGTCCAACTCTGTTGCAGACGGAGTGGGAACAACACACTGGGAGTTTGGGTAGGTCCATGATGAAATACCTGTACTATTAGAAGGGAAGCATGGTAATAATTGTACCTTCCATCTTCACTATCATCATCTCTAACTGCATGGTTGAGAGCACTGGAAAAGGATGTTTGGTCATTCCATTGCTTCTTTTGGTGTATTTGGCAGTGTACAGTTTGCAATTGGTCTCAATGGTCTTAAATGTCTTTTCCAACCAAAATGACACTATGAAAACATTATGCATATTGATTCACATTTATACTGACTTCTAAGAAATCATGATCTTCATAGTGTTTTGAAAACTTGAGATTCACATCTATACTGACTGATATACTGATCATGAGACCTAATAAAAATTTAAATGAAAATTAGTGAAAGACCAGGCCCTAACATTGAATATGAAATTATGAAGGCAAAGAAGAAACCTGGTGCAAGAAGAGCTACTTGCTGAAGGCTTGTAGTTAAATACCCTTGTGTCTCTAGAGTTGGACAGCATCTGCTTACAGAGCAGAGCAAACTAGAGCAGGTTCTCAACTGTTCTAATTTTCACTTTAGCTGCTTACCACATTGGTGTTGGGACACAACAGCTGTGGGAACTGCACGCTTGCCAAGGACTTCACAGATCCCTGCAGAAGAGAGGGATGTGCCATAGCAGAAAGGCAAACCTTTGACAATACTATGTAGCTTTATTCTGTATAAAGAAACAAGGTAGTTGCAAATCCTTTTCCTCTAGACGCAACTGTTTTGACAGAGACTCTGAGGAGGATTGAAGTGCACTGGCCCAGTGAGGATTTTGAATAGTCCACTTTTATGGAATTCTTGCACTGGTAGTTGATGGAAAGATTGGACCCACAGTGTGAGCCATTTAGTGGGACTATTCAAGAACTGGAATCATGCAACTTAATTTGATCTAGAAAGCTCAATCTGTCGCAGATGAAGGCTTCAAGATCTTTATTTGCCATTGTTTGTGTTACAAATTTCAGAGTACATGGAGTTTTATATACACAAGATACTGTATTTGAGCTCTTGTTTGATTTTGGCTACTTTTTCCCCCAATAAAACATAACAGAGAGGAAATTAAGGCCTTTTTCCCCCCTGTGGATTGTCTTATCACTGCTGTGCAAATGAGAGACTATTAGCTTAGAATGCCAGTTAATTGTTACTTGCTGTTGTAATGACGTTCTAGAGGTTGGTCCACTGTCTTTAAACCTGGGAAAATGATAAGTATGAATAGGAAGATATTTTCCTCAAACTCAAATTTTCTACTTTTTATATCCAGAAGCATCTGGCAACACTGTCCTATCCATTGTATAAAACAAATTTTTAAAACTAGATTTATAGAATGAAGTGAAGGGGTGAGGAGTTCTACTGTAACTTAGGTGTTGTGGCAGAGGAAGGATGTGGCACTGAAGTACTTAGTCTAGCTCACAGCAGTTCTTTATAAGTCTTGTAAGTAATTTTCTTTATGAAAATACTCTATTACACTTCTTGCATGTAAAAGCTTTCCCTCCAGTTACTATAGAAGTGCTGAGTTTTGCTTTGTGGTGATTTTTGCTCCAAACTCAAGGTGCAAATAGGGCAGAAGGTGGAGACACCTGGCTAGAGATGAGGACACCTATTCTCCTTATGCCAGATTCTAAACCAAGAGTTTCTCCCCCTATCCATCTTCTGTGAAGGAAGGAAAGAAATGCAGTCAGGCCTCTTTTACAGACAACAAATGATGTTACTCCCTAAAAGGAGGGATCCGATTTTAACATGATGAGAAATAACATTGC